CCCCGCCCGGCTCGGGCTGGCGGCGGCGCTGGCGCTGCGGTGCCGCTGCCGCGACTGGGGCTGGCCGGGCACTGCCGCTGTCACATCCACGTGACCGCGCCCGCCGCCGGCCCGCAGGGGGCGCCCCTCGCCGCCCCGCCCGCCGCTCCGGGACCGCCGCTCCGCCAAGGGATAAGGGAGAAGGGATGCGGGATAAGGGATAAGGGATAAGGGATAAGGGATAAGGGATAAGGGATAAGGGATAAGGGATGAGGGATGAGGGATGAGGGATAAGGGATGCGGGGCCGGGGCAGCGCGGCGAGGGCTGCGCTCATCCCACTGCCAGGGCGGGCTGCGGGTCCCCGTGTCGCCGAGGAAGGCGGGGAAGTGATGGGCTCGAGGCACGCGGAGATTGGACTCCGGCACCCTGTGCCCCCGTTTCCTTCCCCACCTGCCGAACAACTTCCAGCCTACCCCTATTTCACTCCTATTCTTTGCATTCAGCCAATGGAGGACTACGTAGTGTCAGGTTAACAGTGGSACTCGATGATCTTAGGGGTCTTTCCCAACCCAAACTGATTCTATTCTATTCTATTCTATTCTATTCTATTCTATTCTATTCTATTCTATTCTATTCTATTCTATTCTATTCTATTCTACTCTATTCCGTTCCATCCTATCATACTCTTATTCTACTCTATCCTATCCTATCCTATCCTATCCTATCCTATCCTATCCTATCCTATCCTATCCTATCCTATCCTATCCTATCCTATCCTTATTCTACTCTATTCTATTCTGTTCCAAGCAAGCCGTGGCAATTCTGCTGTGTATATCATTAAACCATGGGTGCACGTTGCCATGAAAGAGTAGCAATTGTAATGGGATGAAAAAGAACAAAGTTGACACATGTACCAGCTGACACTGAGCCTGTGTCTGGGGAACACGGTAAAAAGGACTGAGTACTCTTAATTCTACTGCTCTAATATATGAAGGAATGTTTTGAAAACATTTAATAAAACTGCCTTTCATATCAACAAATGTATTCCACAAGGAACATCTTCCTTTTTCTCTCTGTGCATATTTTCTTCCTTCTTTATTGTTTGGGCCATGGGTTAGTGGTTTGGCTTGCATTTGTTTTTTTTTTTTTTTTAAATCTCTCACAAGAAGGAAGGAGCAAGACACCACAGCATCTATGGTTTCAAAAAAGGWCTCTACCTTTGGGAGTCCCAAAAGTAGAACCAGTTGCTGTGGGACACAACATTAGCAGAAAGGAAAAATCATAATCATCCTCAGGTCAGCCTTGACTTACYTTACTGTTCTAGTCAGTCAAAGAAAAGGATGTAGGAGTTTCTTCAAAAGATGACATTTAGGCTGTGACTGTACGAATCAAAAGAGGTTTTTATTACCTTGTGGAACAAAACCAAATTACATGTTAATTACATGTTACACTGGAGCATGTTTCCAGTGGTGCAGTACAGGCACCAGCACTGACTCCTGCAGCGTGTGCAGGGCTGGTGGTTTCCAGTGTTTTYKCTGTTACCCGCCCCAGWCRCAGGAGAGCTGTTTACACCCGACCRTGGMCCATGCCAGCATCACTCCAGCCTGACCAGTGGCAGAACTGGTTGGGATACTTTGGTGAGCTTGCCGGCAGTAAGGAAGGCTTSAGCACACAAAGTCATTTAATTTTATGGTGCTGCTATTTGTTTTATTGTCATATACGTTGTTTTCTAGTAACCTCTCCCGAGCTTCTCTTCGGTGAGAGGTGAGTGACCACCTGGTCAGCCTCCCTTGAGCATGGCCATTGCTTTCAGCAGCATGGTGACACACATTATTTAGCAATGTACWAATGCCTCTCCCTCTGCACTCTGCTACACAGGAGTAAGAGTTTTTACCTTTTGTTGAGCACTGCATGCTTCAAATACAGACATTCAAAAAAAAATTATCCAGGTCTTTCTTGTTTGTTGCATCCAGAGCTAAACAAAGAAAAGCRATTAAATCCAAATATGCTCCAGGGTTCTTACCTGGGAATCCGAGTTTTGTTTGTTTGTTGTGTTGTGTGGGATGAAATAAGCTGAATGCATCAGCCCTCTGCAGAAGTGGCTTTTTAAAGTGTGGGGGAGGCAGCCAAGAGGGAGGCAAGGGAAGGCTTTGTGGTGGTCCAGCTTCCTCTGCTTATGTGTATCTCAGAGTTGCAACTTCACTTCTCCAGTCCTGATATAATATGATAATTTAYCTCATTATCTGATTGTTAGAGTCTGTACTGCTGGTGTTTACACTACTTTCCTTTCATGATGTTTTATAAATTTTTCCTTTCATGAAGTTTTATAAAAGGACCTAAAGAGAGTTAAACACTCACATCATTGTGCCTGAATTTTTCTTGGCTCTTCCATGACAAGCCCAGGGTTTCAGCTGTTGGGTGCTTTGAAAAGAAGAGGTTCCAGCTTGGGGTTGGAAGTCATCCAGCCAAAGTGGAAGTGGCTGAATTCAGGGAACACTCAGCCAAGGCAATGTCCTGAGTGTTGGCTCCTGTGGAGGCTCTTTGGGGTCTACAGAGCTCCCCTGGGCAGGCAGGGCCATCCCATCACCTGGGACAGGGGTGCAGGCAGTGTGAGTGCTGTGGGAACCTTCACCTGGGGCTCCAGCATGTGGGGATGCACATGGGGCCAAAGCAGCCTCCTTTAGAAAGATCATTTTCTCCCCTTGAGCTGATCTCGAGAGGAGAGATTTCTTACTTATGCAAAGCATCAGAGCCCAGGCTCCAAGAGGGAAATCTCAAGCATGTAAATTTACACAATGGTTTTGATGAAACACTGAAACTCCAGTGGCAGGGGATTATGATCTAGCTGGTCTGTGTTGATGGATCCTTTTAGGTTCATAGGTAAGAGGCTGTGAGGTGGGAAAGTTCTAGACTCCAAGAAGAGCAGGACACTGTTTGCATTTTGGGTGCAGTGATTGATTCACATCATCAGAATTTTGAGGATGCATTTCTATCAAGACCTGCTTTTGACAGGCCTGACAAGAATTTCATGGTGCGTGGTTTGTCTGCCTTCAAGAGCAGAAAAAAGTCCCTGGTGCCTTTCCAGCAGTGGCCCTGGTCAACACAGCTTAGAAGTGGCTTCATACACAAAGACTTCTCTTAAAATGATTTGGATTATCTGCTTGCAATGCTTGTGTATCTTCATTGAAGAAAGAAAAGTATTTTTACTTAGTAATAGTTATGTAGTGGTCAAATCCTACTGGTGAYTGTGGATCACCTTATGGTATTGGTAGAGTGAAATCTCTGAAGGACCACATAAAATTGACCTTGCCTGGGTAAAAATTCTTTTTCCTGGTCCTCTCACTGCAAAAATGTACCCACCTTTGCAGATATTTAACCCAAAGCCAGGTTTGTACTAGAAAACATTCCCAATATTTTGACTTTAGGAAGGGGACAAGGCACTAAAAATGTTTAAGGAAAAGAAAAAGCTCTTGTGTAGACATTCTTACCTTACCTTAAACCACCTAAAATGGTGTGTGTGTCTTCTGCACAGCTTAGCAAAAGCAAGAGGACCATGTGTGTGAATAAAGGATCAGCTTCTCTTCTTTGAGAGGGAGGGCATAGAGGGAACTTGGCCAATATAGCAAAAACAAAAAAAGTCAAAAGCAGGGAGCATCCACAGAAAAACAACAAAAATTATCAGCTGCCTGGAGGTACTGGGTTATAAAATGATATTACAAGTGCTTACTCAGCTTGTGAAGCAACAGCAAGAGATGGCCCAAAGCTGCCCATGAGGATTGGAAAGGCAGAAGCACCAAGGAAGTTGAAGTGGGGAAAAAAGCACGGCAAAGAGGATATAACTGATAATCAGCCAAAACATGTATCAGGGAAAGCTTCCAGGGGATGAGCAGCATTAGACTGCACAGGAGGCTCTCAAAGGAAATGGTGGAATCCCCATAATTTGAAATATTAAAACTAGAGCAGACAAAGAGGTGGTGAATATGCTTTAGGAAATAATCCTGCTGTGGGATGGGATGAACATGCWTGTCTGGCATTGCTTATGCAAAGATGTACTGCTTTTCTTTTTTCCTGTTGAAGTCAATTTATTTTTTCCCTTCACCTCTCCACTTCCATTACCTCTGTCTGCATCCGTCTGCTCATGTCTTATAAACAGATGATGAAATGTATTACTCTTTTGTTGCATCTGTCACAAATGTGTCTGGATGCCTACCTGATGTCAACTGTAAATAGCAAAAAAATTATTTCCTTGGATACAATAATCAAGGTTCCCATGAATGGCATGCAAAGGGTTCTATAATTATTTCTAAATTCAGTTCTAATTTCTTTTCACACTTAAATGCAATCATGTCTTCTAATTTTTTTCCTGGGGAAGGGGATGGCAAAGAGGGAAGGGAAGGGAAGGGAAGGGAAGGGAAGGGAAGGGAAGGGAAGGGAAGGGAAGGGAAGGAGCCTTTCTCACATGTGATTTTCATTCTCTGTCATGCCACCTAAGCAAGTACCATATTCCATTTCTTGGCATTTGATTCTCTGCCTTTATAATTTGAAATAACATAGGTGTTTCTCTCTTAATTCACTATGGTTTATGGAAGTGAATCCAAGCCAAATGAATACTGTGGATAGACTGATCTGCCTCAGTGTACATGAAAGTATGCAGCAAATCCTGGACAACTGAGAGGAAACTGCATAAATTCCAGTTGTTTCCTTCCTTTACACAACTGTAGATGAGCTCTGGTAATGGGGGAGCTGCAAAGTTCCTTTCTCCTGCTGTTCCTGTGCCAGAGCTCACTGGCCTTGTAGCACAGCTGGCAGCAGGGAACATGAATTCATGCCTGAGCTCTTTCTGCACATAGTTTG